TGGGACCTCTAGGGAGCAACAATTTTCAACTGGTGTGCTGCATGAATTATTAAAACATGTGGTGTCTGACTAGTCAGAGGCACTGACCTCTACTCCCTTAGATTATCAAATTAAAAAAAATGACAACAGCCAACACAAGAGTAGTCATCCAGTGTAAACAAATCAAAATTATACCTATTTTTTGTCAGATCGGCAAAAAATATAATGCATTTTTCGGGTGTCGCAGAATTTAAGTAATTAGTTTATGCGTACCATGAGATAAAAAAAAGGTTGAAAATTGCTGCCTTAGATCATAAACCCTGTATGTAAACCAAGGCTCAGTTACACCAGAAAGCAACCTGTGCTTTCATGGGTAGACCTTCAAAAATAACAGCTGCTATAAAATTAAAAAATTATCCTAGGCTAAAATTATTTTAGTGTGAAAGATATTACTAGGATAAAAGATATTACCATTGGAGTATTGAGGGCTGAGGATAAGGAATTTAAAAACTAATGTCCTCTTAAAATGCCACATTCCATACCCCTCACTTGAACTTCAATATGAATATAAATATTGAATATGAAGTCACATGAAGTTAGAGAAGCTTATCCAAAGATAAACCAGGTAAATTGCGCCCTCTAGTGGTGACTTCAATTTATACAAGATTGTGACCTGAGGATTTTGTTTTGTTTTCTTTTGGTACCAAAAAATAGTCTGAGTTTGCAAAAGTGAGTTTGTATTCCTTTTACCTGGTAATAGTGCAGTTACTGTGGAATGAATGGCATTTCTTTCTTATTTATGAGGCTAAGGGTTTCTGCCATAATTATTTTACAAAAACTTGCCTTTGTACAATATAAATATATGGTGTCTATACCATTTATTTGGTCTACACCATTTATTTATATTGTATATTGCCATTGCCATTACAAACTTTTACAAAAAAGTTGTCATTATACAATATAAAAACAATGGTGTCTACATAAATTGATTCTTGTAATTCATAAAAAAATGAAAATTGTGTGGTTATCGTATAAATAACTGATGTCTATATGAATTGTTTCTTATAGTCATATAAAATTGGAAATCAGTGTTATCATTTCTCTTGAACCTTTTGGTAAAATTTTAAAAGCATAATATTTCTATAATATTCTTAATATAATTAAATTGTTGATCATAATCTAGTCATATTTTATGAGATTATTAATAAACTTTAATACAATACTGGGTCAATGAATATCTCTTAACTATTTTTGAGAAATTGGAGTTCAAAATTAAAATGGATATGGTCAAAGAAATTAATACTAGTATATGTTAGGGACAAAATCTAAATTAAAGATCTAATATATGTCATACATACATACATGTATATAATACATAGACAGATGGACACATACATATATGTAACTTTGACCAATGGAATAAAGAACTAAAGAGATTTTAGATAAGGTTTCAAAAACTTGTTCTTGTCTCCATTCTCCCTTTTATTCATCCTATGAAATTCTCCTTCAAGTTTTTAGTCTCCCTAGTTTCTTCCCGGGGCTGAAACAGAGTTGCTTCTTTTCAATTTACTGGTACTATGCTAAGGTCATACTAGTGGAAGGATACTCTGGACAAATGCCATATAACATAAATGCCCAGATATTTGGGCTGGGAATTTGGAAGAATAAATATAGTCTTCACATCATGCCCATGAGTTCTACATCTATGTATACTTGTCAAAACATAGAACACCCTGCTTCTTCCTAAAACTCAAAATGAAAAAGGAAACATATATATTGTGGACATTATCTTATCGAATGTTTGAATAAGATTTAATTAGTATTGTAATAGTCAAGGTGGACTAGGTTGTGTTGTAAGAACCATAACCTTCACCATCCTCCTCCTCCAACCTCACTGGTTTGGCCCAACATTAAATATGCCCCACCATACCTCATTTCTGATGCAAATGAGCCCTCAAAGCTCTGCTCAGTAAAGTTACTTAGAGACTTGACTGATAGAAGCTTCCATAACCACTTTAGAAGAAGAGGGAATACAGTGAGTTCTGTACAGTGGAAAGCCTCACTCCAGCTGATAGGGATTTCTACTCAGAATTCATTGGCCAAAGCAAATCACATGGCCGTCCCTTCATTCCAACAGTGTGTGGTGGCACAATTCCACCAGGTGCCAGGAGAGATGCATTTGTGAACAATCCCAAGTTACCACATGTTTAACACAAGAATAATTCAAATATGGAATGGCAAGACAATATATGACATGCTTTAAGATTAAGAAAATGTTTGGGGTAATCACTTCATAAGGCATACGAATGTCTAATCACTATGTTGAACACATGAAACTAACATAATATTGTATGCCAACTGTAATTGAAAAAATAAATTTAGAAATATAAATAAAAATTTAAAACTTAGAAAATGATTTTAACAAGGAAGAAAAAGTTCACGAAAGAGGGAAATCTAATTAATATGCTTTTACATCAAAATTCCAGAAAAAATGACAGTAAAGTTAAAGTTTGAATTGGATACATCTAAAAACACATTTGAAGATCATATATTCTATTTTCATTTTGTTTGGTCTTTGCCATTACACTTAATAACAATTTGCAGCATGTCAAAGTTAATAACCAATAATTTTGGAAGTTTATACATTTATATTACATTTCAATTATATTATTACTAGAATTTCTATTGCTATAATAGCAATACAAAAGGATTTTGCTCAGTGGAGACTCCTACATACTAATATGTTTAGGAAAGCTGGTTGCAAGCAACTCTTTTCAACTCCGTGTTTGGTGATGTCATGTTGGTAGCTTGAAATCAAAGCATCATGGGAGAATTTATACCATAGAAATTGGCAATTGCTACAGATAAAGCCACTTTTCAGAAACCTGTTATTAAATATTTACCATGACATCGCTGAATAAATGTGACCCAAGAACAATGCATATTGGACATTTGTTTTATCTTTTTGGGAGAAATTTGCCCATTTTAAAACTAGTTTATTTATCTTTTTATTATTCAGTAGTTAGTGTCCTTTTTATATTCTGGATACTAGACCCTTATCAGATATATGATTTGCAAATATTTTCTCCCATTCTGTCTATTGTTCTTTTACTTTCATGATGGTATAATTTTGCAACACAAAGTTTTTTGTTTTGATGAAGTCCAGTTTATTTATTTTTTCTTTGGTGGCTTGTGTGTGTGTGCTTTAGATGTCATATTTAACAAACCATTGTCCAATCCACTGTCATAAAGATTTACTCTTTGGTGGGATTGCAAAGCGGTGTAGCCACTATGGAAAACTATGGAGATTTTCCTCAAAAAATTAAAAATACAACTACCATATGACCCAGCAATTGCACTTCTGGGTATTTATCTGTAGAAATCCAAAATACCAAATCAAAAAAGATATATGCATCACTATATTAATTGCAGCATTATTTACAGTAGCTAAGATATGGAAGCATCCTAAATGTCCATCAATAAATGATTAGATGAAATTTGGTACATTTACACAATAGAATTTTAATCAGCCATAAAAAAGAATAAAATCTTACCATTAGCAACAACATGGATGAATCTAGAGGGTATTATGTTAAGTGAAGTCAAGTCAGACAAGGAAAGACAAATGCCCTATGATTTCACTTATATGAGTAATCTAAAAAGAAAACACAAAATAAATGAACAAGGAAAGTAGCAACAGACTCATAGATACAGAGAACATTTTGACAATTGTCAGATAGGAGGGGAGTTGGGTAAAATTGACATACAACATAATATTAGTTTCAAATATTAAATAATGATTTAATATCTGTGTATATTTTGAAATGATCACCGTAAGTCTAGTTAACATCCATCCACCACAGATAGTTGGAGAATTTTTTTTTGTTGTGATGAGAACTTTTAAGATCTATCTTATAGCAACTTTAAAACATGTAATAGAATTAGGTTGTTACCTATAGCTATCACACTCTACCGCAAGTTTTATTTAAATATACATTTCATCCTCATTTATGTCCCATTGTTCCATGTTATACTTCAAGAACATCCCTTATTTCTAGATTATTTGTAGGTTGAATTTCTATGACTTGTCCTCCAGCATAATTCTGAGCTCTTCAAAATGTCTGTATTCATTTTATATTTGGAAGTATTTCTGATGTGAATCTTCTCTGCTATTGATTTGATTTTTCACACCATCAGATCTGCATTTTATTGCTTCTAGTATGGAACCTGTTGGGGACTTTTCTTCTTTCATCATTGTCCTGTCCTATAGCACCCCCTTTCCTTTTCTTATTTTTTAAAAAAAAAATCTAAGTCTATTCTTGTTTAATGGCGGCCACGTCCTCCCAAGTTGTTTCTGGGTTTTCCCACATCTAAACCATGTTTACAGAATGCTGAGGGCAGATGCAGGTGGCATCCTGGTGATGAAGAGGGAGTGGGCCTCGCATCAGAAAGAGCCAAGGAAAACAGGGTGGGTGTGAGTAGGGACAGGATGTGGAAATAACACAAGTTAGGTACCTTGCTGAGCACTTCCCATATGGAGCTCACTTAGTCCTCACAAAAACCAAAAAGTGAGGCGTTATTATTGCAACCTGTCCCTCCACGTGCCTGACACTCTTCCTACCTGTGTTGAACTGGATGGGAGTGGAGAGAGCACCTTGGGAGAGCAAGGCAGCCCTCTATTCCACTGATCATATTAATACCTTACATTTGTTTATATAACAATATTACTCTCACTACAATTTTATGAGGTTGGTTGAAAAGGTCATTGTCATTATCCCCAGAGAACAGGAAACTGGGGATTGGATAGGTTTAGTTGCGACTTGAGCCTTTTCTCTGAATTCTTGTATTGTTTTTGACATCTGGAGCTGAGGCGACCAGTGATGTAAGCAACAGTGGACACAGAATTTCCCAGTAGTAGTATCATATCCTGTTGTGTAACTTTCTGGAGCCGCTACATCAGAGTGTTGCGTTGTAGCTGTATCAGGAGCCACAGTGGCAGCTGGAGTCAGTACCCTTGAAGGATGAGGAGGACCAGACTCTGGGGGCTGCTTTGGATGTCCTTCTTCTTAGGTAAGGTAAGGAGGAGGTGTGAGCAGGTGAGGTCTGCTCTGGACAGCGGGGGATCCCACCATGAGAAAGGCTTCCCTTTTCTTTTGAAGCACCAGGATAATTGATAACCCAAGATGAAGCCAACCAAGCTAAGCCAGGCTGGTTTTCTCTACCCAGATTTAGCAGAATCAGGGTGGTAATCCACATGGGTTCAGGTGGAGTTTGGTTTTCATGGACCAATACCTTTCTTTGTGTCTCATTCATGCTATTCCAAAGGAGAATTGGGAGAAGATGGAGGGTTGAAGGTTGTGTACTTGCTGTGTCCTATGGAGGTAGATCCAGGGTTAACTAAAAGCTCCTTCTATCTTCTGCGTCCAGGAAGCAGAGTCACTAGGCACCCATTCACACTTGGCTGGGACTGCTCTAATCCCCAGCAGACAGCTACCACAGGCCATATAGCTCAGAGGGTTGGGGCTGACTCTAGAGTCAGACTGCCCGGGTTGGGGTCCTGACTCTACCACTTTGCACTGCAGGACCTTGGGCAAGCCACTTAATAACTTCTGTTTTCTTCAATAACATGTGCCTTGGTTTCCTTACTCTCAAACAGGAACAGCAGTGTCAATCTTATGCCTTATGAAGATAAAGTTATGAAGATTAAATGAGATGGTATTTTAAACAGTTAGCAATAAATGGTATTTGTTCATCTTTTTAAAATTAACATATTGTAAAGAATTTCTTGAAATGATGGAAGAAATGGTGCACAGATAATACTTCAGCATCCATTTCTGACTGTCTCTATTCATAATACACAGGCAAGTTTGCAAGCAATCTCAGTCTCCTGTACCTCTTACTGTCTTTAATCCATTTAGGCTGCTCTAAAAATACTACAGATCGTGTGGCTTATAAACAATAGAAATTTATTTCTCACAGTTCTGGAGACTGGAAATCCAAGATCAGGGTGCCAGTATGGCTCAGGTCTGGTGCAAGCCCCCTTCCAGGCTGCAGACTGCTCACTTCTCACTGAGTCTTCACACAATGGAGGGGGAGCGCTCATCCTGTTCATCAGGGAAAAGCCCTCATGACCTAACTATATCCCCAAGGCCCCGCCTCCTAACCCCATCACATTGGGGATTAGGACTTCAACATACAAGTTGTGGTGGGGAGACACAAACTTTCAGACCATAGTATTCACCTTGCCCAGGGAGTTGGCAAATAATTTATCTACAGCATGAATTAAGAGATTAGGGCTTCTTAAATTAATATCACAGAGGTGGAGAGTGGGTCGTGTATTTTCCTCAGAGCCCGGCACAGTGCCTGGCACTGAGTGGGTTCTCACCCACAGTTTGATGAATGAATGAGTGAATGAAAGAGGGAAGCAAACTTGGTATAAGACAACCCTTAGCTTCTGCTCACCTGTCTCTTGAAGTGGCATTTATGACCAGGGTTCATAGAAGTCACCAGGAATTTTATTTTCAAGGTTTCCTTAGAAACTGAAGTCTGGTCCCAGAAGAATTAGCCGTCAAGCTGGGTTTCGCTTCAAAATCCTCAGGAAACCTTGAGTTGGGTCTTCCCAAGGTCAGGCTGAGGTAGGTGGGGCCTGCTAGAGCTCTTGGCCCATCACAGAGGTGAGCTGTGATGATAGCCCAGGGACCCCATTGAAGGGGCAGCTGTTGTGATTTTCCAACAATTGTACTCTCAGAGCTACCGCTCAAGGATGAAAGTGTGTAGATGCAGCAATAGTCTTAATAGCAGCAGTAGCAGCTGTAGGTACTGATAGCCTGAACTACAATTTAATTCAGCATTACTGTCCAGCCAGTATTTGGTGTTCCATGGAGGAAGGTATCCCAGGCCTGAGTGGATAAATTGTAGTTCCTGTTGTGTACAGTTGAAAACATAGACCTGGATCTTTTTCTTGCTTCCATTTTACTTGGGCCTCCTCTTAGCAAGGCTTGCTTCAAACAGACCAGACCACTCCCAATTCTAGGTGGTTAATCTGGTTCAGCCTCTAAGAGTACAACTGAAACTATTGTTGGTATAACCCACGGGCTCTCAGCCTAGGTATTACTGACATTTTGGGTGGAATGGTCCTTTGTTATGGGGCTGTTTTGTGCAGTGTAGGATATTTTGCAGTATCCCTGGCTCCTACCAATTAGATTCCAGTAGCACCCTGTGCTCCTGTTTACAACAGCCAAAAATGTCTCTAGGTATTGTCCAATGTCCCCAGGGAGGCAAAATTGCTCCAGTAGAAATACAGCAATTGAAGTTTCATATCCCACTGACATAACAACTCCAGCAAGAAAGAACATTCTTCTTAACAGCTACAACAGTCTCAGGGAGCATTCCATTGGGTTCAGCCCCAGTCGCTTATGTGCCCATTGCTAAACCAGTCAGAGTGGCCAGGGTGATAGGGCTCTTTGATTGGCTAAGCCTATGTCATGTGTCCATCCTTGAGAATGTGGGCAGCCCTTATCAGTAAGGCCACATAGGATTGGTTCCCTGAGAAAGAGGTGCTTTGATATCCAAGGGAGGCACAGAGAAATATCAGAGAGTCAGATATCTGTGTCCACCATGTCCTCAAGATTGTTTCCTCACTGTTTTTCCAAAAGTTTCTTCAACTGATCTCTTTTCTCCGGACTTTGATGAAGTTCCTCTAGCTGTTCAAAGGAGTTGCTCTCTGCTAGTATCATGTCTGCACATTCTCTCTTCACTCTGTGTGTCTTTCTTTATAATCATTCCCTCTCATCATGCTCCTGTCACGTATGGTCTTAGCACATGTCCCATGTCCTATGTCTAATAAGGTAACCTTTACTTTCAGAAAGGTTGATTTGCAAAAACCGTATGCAGTCTAGCTCTTCTAATTAACAAACCAACCAACCAAACAAACAAACAAAAACTACTTACAGTGAAAAGACCTGGGGTCTGGTGCTGGCTTGCAGAAAAAGTTGTCTTTTTTGCTGGAGGCCAAAAGGATCTTGTATGAAAAATGGGTGGTTGAACAAGAAAAGGGGATGGTTACCCTGTCTATTTTCCCAAGAGAGGGAAGCTATTCCTCACAGAGCTTAACTTTGATTTCATGCTTACAGAACTCCAAGATGTAGCTAAATCAGAGGAGGACACGTATGAACGAACAGAGGGGCAGACCCTGAGCGTGATCTGTCCCTTCCATACCACGGAGTACTCCAACAGCCGGAAGGCATGGCAGAGGCTGAGAGATGGAGAGGAGCCTGAGACACTGATAAAGACAGAGAGCACCTCAGGGGAGAACAGTCAAGTCCGGAGCGGGAGGTACTTCCTAGAAGACATCCCCGTTGAAGGCATGCTGGTTGTCCAAATGACTGACCTTCGACAGGAGGACTCAGGATTATATCAGTGTGTGATCTACCAGCCTCCCAAAAAACCCTATAGGTTGTTCAGTCTTGTCCGCCTGGTGGTGAGAAAGGGTGAGTGACCAGGGACTGGGAGGTAGAGGGTGGGGAGAGCCAGGCTGGGTGGCCGGTAGGAGGCATGGTGGTAGCACTGTAGAGCTGTGGCTCAGGATTTCTAGTAGCCTGTCTTTCTCCCAGAAGCTCCACGTCATTCATTTGAGGACCCCGAGAGGCAATTGGTCCAACAGTGAGAAGTGACTTCTATGTATGGGATTCCTCTTGGGTGACAGGGCCTAATTTGGGGTGCGCTTATAGGATGAGTGGTACAGTGGAAAGTGAGTGGAAGATTTGGGATAATATAGTCTCATTCTTCAGGTCTCCATGTAGAAGTCATTTCCTCGGGAAGTCTCGGGGATGCACTCTCCCTGTCCCAAAGATGTATTTGATGGCCCTCCTATGTGCTTACATAGCAGTGCTTCTCATGCCTTCCTGAGGGCACAGACCACCTGGGGATCTTATTTCAAATACAGACTGATTCAAGAGGTCTAAGATGGGACCTAGATTCTGCATTTCTGATCTGCTTGAAGACAATGTTGATGCTGTGGTCCATGGCTCCCATTTTGGGTAGTAAGGCTCCAGAACTCACTTCGTATCCCCTCTCATGGACAATGCTATCTCCCTCAGTGGTAGTGGCCAGTTTACTTATATCTCCCCTCTTGATCTCTGAGCACTTTGAAGGAGGATCCTGTGCCTTGCTCAGCTCTGTATCCCCAAGTGATTAATGTAGTATGGGGCACACAGTAGGCTCGAAGTAGATGTTGATCTGATGAATTAAGGAAGGCAGAGGAAAGAGAGACAAGTTCAAGTTCCTAGAAGCCTAAGGAAGACAATGTAACATATGCAATATATTAACAAAAATTGGCTTGTGAATCTATATACTATAAGTATAGGTGAGTACAAGGCAGAGTGAATGGTAAAAGCTAGAGTAATCAAGGAATTGTTCCTGAAGAAAATGGGGGCATATGGATTGGTGAAGGATAGCAGGCAAGTACATTCCTAATGACATGAACAGAAAATTCCTCCTTTCCCTCTTCCTCCCTTTCTTCTTTCCTTTTATCCTGTCTCTGACCCAGGCTGGCCCCACACATTTCTTTTCAAATCTCAGCGAAAGAAAACATTGCTTCATGAATGTCCACGTTCATGTCCTCCCTCAGCTCCATTTACCCTACCATCCATTCATCCATCCATCCATCCAATGTGTCTTCTTGCAGATGGTGCCTCAGCCAGTAATTCCACCCAGAACTTGCCTGAGATTACCACCCTTTCTCCTATCACCACCAAGGCCCGAGGCAAGCTTCGTATCAGCCCCAGCACTGTGACTCAACTCTTGCCCATATCAACTGTCAGCCTCTCCTCTCCTGGCCTGGGAGTCAACCCCCCACAGAGCACAGATGTCATCAGGTACGGTTCCCAGGTCTCTGGAAGAGAGGGCTGGTTTGACACCTAGCCCTTGATTCCCAGCCCATGTATGGAGAAGATGTGGGGCGTGAGGGATGGGGGAGGGGGTGCACAGGAGCAGTCTTGAGTCACCTGGTAGGACTTCCCAGGGGAGGGAGGAGGTGGTGCTAGAGTGAGGAGGAGGCTGGTGGTGAGGCTGCTGCTCTCAATTCACCCTCTGTTTCCTCTAGTGCCAGAGAAGGGAGAGAAATGGCATCTTCACTAAATTCCAATGGTTTTTCATGTTTATATGTATTCTAATACAATAGTAATTCTAAACATTTTCATTATTTTTCCATGCTAAAACTCTTCTTGATGTTGCCACCTAGTCTTTGTAATTACAATTTCAACTTGTGCATACTTTTGTATCAATGGAAAAACCATGCTTACATAATCATTTGCCTGTTTTGAGATGTTGAGACTGTGTCCTTTTTTAATAATATTAACTCTGAGCTGGACATATTTTTGCAGATGTCTTTTTCTTCTTTGAAATAATTTATTTAAACAAAATCTCTCTTAAGAGGAGTTGAACATTTATATTGCTCTGCATATGTCTTGCCAAATGCCCTTCGGAAGATGGGAAGCAATCTGCAGAGTGATCCACAGGGCGTCAGTGAGACAGCGTCTCTGCCGGCTGGCTTCCCAGGACTTAGTATTTCTAAAACATTCCTGTCCGAATAGATGTGCACTGGTAGTTTCTCTATTACTGTGAATGAGGAGCTCCATGCGGGTTGAGGCGGTGTCTTTTCCCCTTGCACTGTTTCACTGGCATCAGCCTAAGTCCTGCTACATAATAGGTGCTCGTTAAATCCTTATGAACTGAATTAAATAAATGACCTAGTGAGGGTCAACATTTTTCTTTACTCACAACGTTTAATTTCCAGTATGTAAATAAAAGTGCATAGCCTTTGCCCACATTCCTACTAGAGTCCGCGCCTTTTTTATCTATTAATTTTATCTCAATGAAGGCTGGGTGCTGGCCCCGGGAGAATGAATGCACCCAGGAGCTCCCTGCATGAAAACTTTAAAAGGTTGGGAGGGGATAAGGGAGGACACTGGCAGGAGAGACTGGAAAGAGGTGGAATTATCCGAGCCCAGAACAGGGACCTTGAGGTGCAAGGGCCCAAGGGCAGTATGGAGGAGGGCCGGAGAGGTGTAGGGCCTGGGGGCCCCTGCCCACACCTTCGCCAGCACCATCAGCAGCTGCACTTGACCAGGCCACATTCTACATCTAGTTTCCAGTGAGTCGGCACAGTTTTGCTGGCTGGAAGTGGATGTCGGCGCAACAGGGCCATTTCCGGCTTTCTATGGCCATTATGTCATTTGTCCCTTTGCTAGTTTGTACGTTCAGTTTTCAGCTTTGTGTAGACAAATGTTGATTCTGAAATTACTGCTTTGTTTTATTTCTAACTTGTGCTTGATTCTATTTCCCAGTGACTTTTCTGTTATTTTAAAATTTTTATTTAAATTTTTAGCCATCTTTGGGAGGGGGGATTGTTTTCTATATGGTATAAATTGTAGGAAAAATGACTTTCTCTTCATATTACTATCCAGGTACCACAAGACTATTTGCTAAACAGTCCTTGCGTACATAGTGGGCTGCCGATTGAACTCCTTAGATGTTAAATTCTTACAGAACATTAGATCTGTCTTTGGATTTCAATTGGTTTCACTGCTACTTATTTCTCTTTTTGTCCTGTGTCTTATCACACAGGTTACTTGTGCTATAATCTATTTCCGTGTCTACTAAGTCTAGACAGGCCAAGTGTCCTCACTCATTTCTATCCCTTTTTAAAAAATGTTGTCTACTGACATTTATCCAGGACACTTAGAATCATTTTTGCTAAAAATCTATCAAAGCTCATAATGGGATTTTGACAAGGATTGGATTCTTCTCAGTTGATAGATGAAGAAACTGAGGCCAAAGAGGTGAGGGGCCTCTCTCAGGAAGGAGGCCATGATGCTGAGAATAGCAACTAGGTTTCTTGAGTCTGGGACTTCTCTGTCTCTCTCCTCATCACAGTGGAGGAAGAGAAACTTAATCAATCTGCTTTTTCTCCTTGTTGTTTCTTCTGGCCCTATGTTCTCCACTAAATCTATTTCTTTTCTTCCCCCCCCCCACATTTTATTTATTTATTTATTTATTTATTTATTTATTTATTTTCTTTTTCTCAAGTATATTTTATTGATTACATTATTACAGTTGTCCCATTTTAAATCTATTTCTAATCAGCAGTTGTAGGCAATGGGACACCAAATGCACAGGGCCAGTCAATATGGGGAAAGGTTCTGGAAGAACCTATGCAGATAAAATAAGTGATGTGAAGAACTTTTGTGGAGTAAAACTCAACTGTGAGAGAGTGTCATTTCCAGCAGCAGCATTAAATCTCCTCTCCCCCCAGGATCTCGCCGATCAGCATCATCGCTATTGTGGTGTGTGGAATCCTGATCAAGAGCCTGGTCTTCACTGTCCTGTTGGTTGTCACACAGAGGTCATTTGGACCCTAGGCCCACGAACCCCAAGGATGCCCTGTACATCCATCCATGTCCATGGGGCAGCTGCGCTAGAAGAAGAGTGTGGAAGACAATGGAAAGGGAGGCTGGGCAATGGCTGAGCTGAATCTGTAACACGGATTATTTTTAAGGCTCAGGATCCCACCGTCCTGGCCTGCTGACTCCTCTCATTTCACTGGTAACTTTGGGTGTGTGCTTTGCCCCATCAGAAGAGAACACAGCCCCTAATATGCCCTGGGCCTCCATTCCACCAGCAGCCCAAGGCTTGCATTAAATAAAGACAGAGTCCAATGCCTTTCACTGTCACTTGCTGTTTTGTGGGGGTTGTGAGGTACAAGGGCATAGCTGCTGAATCTGTCCTGGTCCTTTCCCTGAACCACAACACTGTGGCCTGACTCAGACAGAGCTGCACGATGGAAGCATCCTGCTCTCCCAGCTGATTCTTCTAGAATCAGATGTTTGGATTTCTACCCTTATCTGTGGCCCTTCCCAACACTCCCAGAAAAGGGTACTGGAAAACCTTGGAATGAGGAGAAGACACGACACCACACTGAGAATTCCATATAAGGGAAGAAAAAACCAAGTTAACCAGAATGCAGAATCCTGGGACAATACTGAGAGGATGAGGGAGGATTCGAAGGACAGCGCTGAGAGAGGGTATCGCTCGTCTCTGAGGTGCATCATCCCTGGATCCTCAGGACGACCCCGGGAAGGCAGAGAAGTGTGTGTCTGGAATGAGGCCACATGAGTAGTGTGTCACCACTTTTTGGCAGGAACAAAAACTAAAGAGTTCCTTTACTGAAGACTAAGCCCATATAGAAGAGAATAGCCAGGAGTCCTGGCTCTAATACCTCTAAATGTCTCTTTTCCTTGTGTCACACAAGGGAAGGGATAGTGAAGTGACAAGATCTCACCATTTAGGCTTCTGGAGGCTCTCCCCTATGTGCACTCCCAGCTCCCCAGCCAGCCTTCCTCTTCCTCTCTTGGTCTGCCCCTCCGAGTCCCCTTCAGCTCCCATGATCACCCATGAAATAGGTGTCCAGACCGACCTGTGTCTTGCAATATCCAAGAGATTTAAATCAAGACTTTCCAATTTCCTACCTCCTTTGGCTCTAGAAAGGAAGAGTCCCCGGTTGGTGTGGAAAAAATGATGGGTCCTTCTATTCCAATTCAGCAATGGCCATGACTAATCTCATATCAAATTCCTCAACAACAAATACACCTTCCAACACACAATCCATCTTGTGCTAGGAAACCACATTCCTATAATCAGCGTAACTTTACCCCACTACTGTGAAAAAAGGTACCCGACTGTCAAGGTACAATTTCCCTCCCCACCCCCTCGAGCACTCTGCCCCACCCCGATCCCACTGCCGCCATGCAAGGACTTCCTCATCACCCTGAGAAGAACTGCTCTGTCTGAAGCCTCCAGGAGGATGGCACTGAACGAAACACAGAGAGATTCTCTCTGGTCCCCCAATTCTGAGTCCATCAGAAGATGTGTGAAGGGAATTCATGTCTTCTGAGAAGCACTTCTTCTAGAAACTGTTCATCTCAGTGCCCCCATTTTCCTGCCTAAGAGAGCCGAGCAGCTCAGAGGCAGTAACCACGGGGCATGCAGCGTTTGCTCTCTGAGGTTACTGGTCTGGGACCCTGGGACCTGCAGTTTAGCAGGTCCAATGTTGTCTCTGCTCAAGAAGTTGACAAAAAGGCCAGGGCAAGGGAGGTGCCATTATTAAACGTAGAATACTTTACGGCAGTGTTTCTCTAACTCTAGTCCTTAGACCACCTGCATAAGAGTCTCCTGGGACATTTGTTTAAAACGCATGTTCCAGGGCCCCCCCATACCTGATGAATCACAGCATGTGGCTCTCTCTGAGTCATCCTCAAGCTTGTTTGCAAGTTCCAAGAAGTCATCACGCTCCTTACTAAACATCATGACACATTTATTGCAGAGGTAACCAACTGCATGAGTTAGTGTGCTTAACTTATAGATTAATTTGTTTAAGTCTAATGTGTTAAACTTGCCTGAGAAATTATGTACAGTAAATTGGAAGACAAATAGTTGTGTTGGGTGCTATTCCATTTGCACCTGTAGGCCTCCTCCCCATCCTTTTCTTTCCTGACCAAGATGGGTTAAATCAACAGCCTTCCTTGCCCAGCAGCTTCAGGTTGGATTCAGCCAGTGGGCAGCATGAAAGCAGAGCAGGGGATGGGAAGAGAATGAGGGCAGGGTTTTTATCCTCTGGGCTCCTTCTCTGTGGAGCGGCTGCATTGCTCTAACGGAGGTCCCTTCAAGCCTCTCACCAAACAGCCACTATCTCCAGGTTTGGGCAATTGCTCCATCCCCTTACTTCTTTGGGCCTAAAGGTGATAACGACTCACTATTGTCACCAGCCTCAGGGTACTGCCCCATCCCTCACCAATTTCCCCAAATGCTACCACATTCCAATCGAACACTTCTCAATTACTCAGTTTCAGTGAGCCACCTGTTTCTTGTTGGGGCCTTGACTGATACAACAGTGTAACGTAGTTAATTCCACAGGCTTTGGAATTAAACAACACCTGGTCTGAATCCCAACTCTACAACACTCTTGACGTAAGTCTGATCTCGAGCGACTCAGTTAATCTGTCTGGTCCTCATTCTGGAGATATTCCTCGTTGCCCCAGGGGTAAAATAATCAGTACCACTCATGATTCTTGAATGCCAACAACTGAATCCAATTCTGGCTATCTTAAATGGCAAGGTAATTTAGAAAAATACCAGCAGTTCCTAGAGTCAATGAGAAGGCTGAAGGACCAGGTTTAGAAAACAGCAGAAACCAAGAGAGAATGGACAGTAGAGACCACAGCTGCGGTTATAGCGTGAGACAGTCTAGTGATGAGCTTGCCATTGGTGCCCCTGCCCCTGCACACTTGAAGCCACGAAGTACTTGCCACCATACTATTCGTGGACTCTCAACGTGCAGTCATCTCCAGCTGGCCCTGCATCTTGTATCACATGTGTAGGATCCAGAATCCTGGGCAGAATCATGTGTTTTGCCAAGCTTAGGTCAAATCACAAGCCTGTGTGGTAGGTACCGGGGAGAAGGATTGGAGGAATCTGCCTCCATATCAACAGAGAGGGAAGTGGAGCTCTGTAGCTTAGGGGCACCCACATTTTGGGGCATATCTCTCAAAGAGAAAAGGCACTGGATGCTGGAGACCCAAAAGATGCCAGGTATTTATTACACAACCTCCCAAAGCTGATTGGATTAAATGAGATAACCTGGGTCAAGAACCTGGTGCGTGTAGACCTTTAATCCATGGCATTGATAGCTGGTTACTTCCAGTACCATAATAACTGCGGTCTCCATGCCTATGCCTAGATTGGGAGCTCAGAGAAGTGCACAACTCATACGTAGGCAGAATACCCTGAGAAAGCCTTGGGGCCCCTCTGAACCCATACAAAGCTTTTTTTTTTTTTTTTTTTTAAAGATTTTACTTATTTATTTTTAGAGTGAGGGGAAGAGAGGGAAAAAGAGAGGGAGAGAAACATGGATGTGTGAGAGATACATCAATGAGTTGCCTCCCGCACACCCACAACTGGGGACCTGGCCCGCAATCCAGGCATGTGCCCTGACTGGGAATCGAACCAGTGACCTTTCAGTTTGCAGGTTGGCACTCAATCCACTGAGCCACACCAGCCAGGGCTCATACAGAACTTTTATAGACATTGGCTATTTGGACCACTTGCCTCAAAATCACCTGGGCTACTTGTTGAAATGCAGATTCCTGGGCCATCTCCAGTCTCTGGGGGTAGAGCCCAGGTGTGCGTGCGCTTGCCAGGCTTCCCAAGTGACAGCCACATGCCCATACTTGAGAATCACGGTGTGGAGTAAGATTAAAGAAGGCATGTCATCAGGAAGGTTTGAACCGGGCCTTGAAGGGTAAACCAAATGTAAATGTACAGTTTCTTCCAGGCAGGGAGAATGGCAAGAGGGGTTGTGGGATACAGCGGTCAGTGTCCAGTGATGAGAATGTCTTGGTGACCTGAGCAAGTGAGTGGATCAGAGGTGGAACATCAGATGGGTGGGTTGAGACTTGCTGTGGTAGAGAATTGGGAGCTCTCGAGTATTGCCCAACAGGGCTGGGACATAGTGAAAACAGGAAGGAAGATGTCTCAAGGGCAGCGCTCTGTCTTTTCTCCTTCTTTTGCATTTTCCTGAACCGGTCCCTCTCATCACACTTTCCTCAGGGTTTCTCAATTGCAAAGTAACAGCTAAATCTTGCAGGAAGGTAGAAATTACCAATATGGGCAACATCCCCCAGCAACTGCTAGAGCCCCTGGGATGGCCAGGACACAGTGGCTGGAATGGAGAGGACAGGGCTCTGGGGGTGGCCATGGCTGCCATGGCTGGTGCTGCTATGGGTCTCAGGTAAGGAGAGGCAGGGAGAGGGATGCAGGTGGCCGAGGGAGGCATCTCCTGCAAGGGGTTTCCTCACACTTCTTTAGGAGGATGGGAATAGGATCAAGGTGTGAGTTAGAGATGGGAATGGGAAAGAAATGTAATGAATGCAGATTGTGCTGCTTGACTGTGACCCAGCAGGGGTCTAGTGCATCTCAAAGTTGAGAAAATGATATGAAACCCACCAAACAACCGCCCCTTGCTGTGCTGGGACCCTGGGAGATGTAAAGCAGTACAAGGCATGGTCTCCCCTTAATGGAACATTCAGGCACTGATGGAGAGGGGCATTAGTAGGGGAAAAGGTAAATAACAATAAAGGGGCCAAGTGAAGACAAAAATACAGTGGAAGTCTAGCAAGGTGCAGAGAGGGAGTGCAGCAAAAAGGCTCTGCAACCAGACAGAGCTGGGCTCAAATCCTGTTTCTGCCACTTTCCACATATGTGGCCTTAAGAAATTCTCTAACGTCTCCGAGCCTATTTCATCATTTGTAAATAGTACCTCCTTCAGAGGGTTGTCCTGAGAGTTAAACCGCAAACTGATATAAAA